ATGATTATAGTTTTATACAATGTCTCCGAAATCGAATAAATTGAAACCGAACCGAAACTGATAAAAATCAAACAATGAATCAAGTTGTCTGCCCTTAGTCATAACATTTTAACTAGAGATAAAAGTTTATATACATGCAAGTGCTTCACTTAATTAAACCATAAATATATATAGCAATACCTTAGAAAGCATAAAAATTTTAGCGCCCCAAATATTAACTTTATAGTGTTAGGAATTAAGAACTAAACAATACATAATGCTTAATTATTTGTAAATACAAAACTTAGTTAATATATTTATTCAGTTTTTGGAGGTGAGCCAAAAACAAACAACTACTCAATTCAATTTCCATTTTTCTGCAAAAAATTAAATTTATTTGTTGTTCAGTTTTTGTAATTTCGGAAAAGTACCAAATCAGCACTCGAACTAACATCAATAGTGCAAATCACCCCTTATATAGGAGGCTCTGTCCGGCTGTCTACATTTGGGGCGTTTCCCGATGAAAGTTTTTGATGAATTGTTTTGCGCATCTTTTTCATTAAGTCTAGTTTACTCATACCAAATTTAAGCTAAAAATTCAATCGGGAAGGCAGTCAAATAATTTTTTGAAGATAATTGTGCAATTAAACAGCGCAGTATATTTCAGAAAATCATTTGATTGCCTTCTCGGTTGAATTTTTAACTGAAATTTGGTATGAGTAAACTAGACCTAATAAAGAAGATGCTCAAAAACATTCATCAAAAAACTCCACCGGAAACCGCCCCAAATGACGACGGCCAGACATATCCTCCTATATAAAAGGTGATTTGCACTGTTGATGTTAGTTCGAGGGCTGATTTGGTACTTTTCCCTTGTAATTTTTTGTCTTGGTTTTGCTTGCCCACTCTTACTTAAAATGTTTTTAATTGGATTGAATTTTTTTGGTCTTGTCCAATCTGATATGATTTAGGCTATGTTTGGCACAACGAGCTGCAACTGGAGGCTGATGTCTGAAATAAGGGCTATAGTCTGAATCAGAGACAATTGTCTGGAGCTGAATCTGAATTGCTATCTGAATGAAATAGTCCTGTTTGGCAAAAAGAGCTGGAAAAGTGCCGGCTAATATGAAATTACATTAAAGGACATATGATTTATGAATAATAGAAAACAAATTATTTTAATGATTTTTATATTTCAATAAAATTAAAAGGGAAAACTTCAAATCAGTCCACTTACTGTTATGAAAAAGTTAATTGAGTCCATGTACTATTTTTTTAATCAATTAAGTCCATGAAGTGTCAAATTTTCACCAATTTTACCATTTAACCGGTAAACGACCGGTAGCCCCTATATTTGCTGATACGGATTCCACTTGACTATTTTGTACTATTTTTTTCTTTTTTCCTTTTTTTATTTCTTTCTTCTTCATTTTTTTTCTCCTGTTCGTCCCTACCGACTCTATGCTCTGCAACTCCCCTCTCTTCATTCCTTCTTTTTCCTTTTTCCCCTTCTTCTCCCCACAACTCATCCACTCTTCTTCTTCCCTACTGCTTCTAACCCACATCCTTACCCAACCATCTCCTCCCTTCATTCTTGCCCAGTACTCCAGTAGTTCAGCCTCCATCTTCAATTCTTTCCTTTTCTTTCTTTTCCCCTTCTTCAATTCTCCAATCTACTTCTTTTACAGTTCTACCTCACCCAACCTTCTATCCTCCCTTCTTTCATGGCTAGATACTAGAGAAGGCGAATTTGGCAACCCAAAGGCGACCCCTGCTCTTCTTCAATGGCAACCAGCTGACAACGACGGCGGCGGCAGAACTCGACTTCGGCGGCGGAGCTCGACCGAGATGGCAACGACAGAGTGGACGGTGGTAGAAAAATGGAAAGCTAGAGGGGGAAGAAGGAAGAAAGAAGAGGAGAGAATAAAGAAAGAAAAGAGAAGAGAAACAAGAAAAAGGAAATTGAAGGAGAGTTGCAGGAACGGTTCTTTGAAGAAGAAGAAAGAATAAAAAAAGGAAAAAGATAATTTAATGCCAGCCAAATAAGCGCTTACATGGAAAAAAAAGCCACTTGGATGATCCACGTAGGCCTATTAACCGGGAAATGGATCAGTTACCGGAGAAAAGGCAAATTTGATCATTTTTTGACTCTTGGTGGACTTAATTGATTGACAAAATAGTATATGAACTCAATTGACTTTTTCATAATAGTACGTGGACTGATTTGACAGTAAAATTATAACTTTATACTACTATTATATACTTATACTACGTATAATATAAAATTAATCTTTTATATCAACATTACGTTAACTCAAATGTGACCTTTTAAAATTTCAGTATATGTGTATTTGTATTTACTACGATATACTTCCTCCGTTCTTTTTTAGTTGCAACGGTCAACATTTCACACTTGCCAACGCACGTCTTTGACCGTAATTATATCTTAATCTCTATTAGTATAAGATATTTAAAAATTAGATTTTGAAAATTTGTAATGAGATGAATTGAACAATATCTTTTTTAAAAAATAATTTTCATAAAATAATAATATAAAATGTAGTCAAAGTAGTATATGTGAATAGTGTAAAATTCAACATGTTGCGATTAAAAAGAGACGGAGGATAGTATATGTATGGGTGTGTGTGAATATATTTCAATACATTTTTAATTTATAAATGAATAAATATATACAATAAAATAATAGCACTATCTTCATATTCCATGCGTGCATTTGGATCACTGCTGCACAAATCTTCCCACTCCTTCACTCTTCAAAGTAAATTCCTCCCCAACACCCAGAAATTCAGAATTCCAGAATTTTTTTTGTTCATTTTTCCTGAAAAAATCAGCTTCTCCCTAGACATGTGGGTCTTGAATACATCGAGGTCATATGATTTAGGTCTGCATCTTTGGATGCAACACAGCCTTGTCGTCGATTCTCAGTCCGAAGTCATCTCATATAAATTTTAAAGGTATAATACTGTTCAATTCTATAACATGAACATGGTCCGATGAAATAATTATGTGTTCTAGAGAAGAAAACGTTGGGTGTAGTGAATTTATTAGGCTTGAAGGTGGGAGCAAGATTGAAACCGAAGGTAAAGGAGAGAGGTTAATATCGGAAAAAGGGAATCAAGTCAATCAACTGAAGGGAAACGTTGCCTGCGCAAACGTTTCAATTCAGCTATTGTTTTCTAGTTCCAGCTCAAATCAGTTCTTTATCCAAACACCTTTAATTGTGTATTACTTGACTGGAATTCAGCTCATAATCAGCTGAAATGGTCTGCCAAACAAAGCCTTAGTTTGATCCGTCTTATGATTTACGTGGATGTAAATCGGAGGAAGAGAGCGTGGGGCTGGCTTGCAAGTGATAATGAAGGGAACTTCATCAGCGGAGGCAGTGAGACTCGGGCAGCTGACTGGTCAGCGGCTATTATAGAAGCAGTCGGGATAAGAGAGGTGATATCCTGGCTAAAGAGCAAGGTTAGTCCCATGTCGAAATTGAAACAAATGCACTGCCTGATACCTCCAGGCTCTTGGGAGGTTGTGAGAATTCTTATTTGGATATCGTCGTGGAAGATGTAAGACACCTACTTCAATCTGAAGTAGTTTTATTGTCAAACATGGTAGACGATCCGCGAATCGGGCAGTCCATACACTTGCTAAGGCAGTCGTTTCTAATGTGGGTGGCAGAATAATTTTTCATTTTTTACCGTCCAAGCGCCCCCCCACGCCCCGACCCGACAGAACACATGGGAGGATGTAAGTTACGGTGACTCAGTCAGCAGAGTGACAGTAGGCCTTTTGAATCATGGTTTCATGGGATTATTTACCATTTTGTCTTGTTTTTCTGGGTGTAGATTATCTTGATTGATTTGATTCTACATAAAAGAAAAGCTTATAGGCACTTGTTCTACAATACGTTTACTCGAGAGAAACTTAATTTTGAGGTATGTTTTAACTGAATCCATCCCCAGTTAACGGGCGCACCAGAGGCCCAGCCTTATTTCAGGTTTTGTGACCTTCACCCGGTCGCTGCGGGGATTCGAACCTTGGTCATAGTTCCAATTTTCCCACCACTCGAGCAGCTGAGCTACTCGTGCGGGTACCGTCTAACATTTGTAGCCATGTGGCCAACGACTTATTTAATTAATAATAGCTATTTTTAATTCCCAAAAAAGTCTGATTTGATTTTTTAAGTGTGTGACTAAAAAAAGTAAGACCATTTTTAGCATGTTTTACTTCTATTTTAATTTGCTGGTCTGATCGATCTGGTCTGAACTGGTCTGGTAATGTCTAGTCTGTTTTTATAATTATGCAAGTATGATTGATTTGGTTTGATCCTTCACGCCCAACTAAAAACATCCTTGCATCTAATTAGAACCGGAAGAACTAAAGAGAGGAAACGCCGACTGCCGCTGCCGGAGCTCAGTCTACTGTTGTCGGTTGCATCCTCGGTCGATCTACAGACAGAAGTAAAAAGTCGGAGAGCGATTAGTTTACTTCTTTTTCTGGTAAACATTATGGACAAAGATGGAAAATTTCGATGCGTCGAGTGTGGATCATCAATTAACTCTCTCTACATCCAATACTCTCCCGGCAACATACGTCTCATGAAATGCGTACTTTCCTTTCTCCTCTTTCTTGATCCTCAATAATCTTGAGTTTGGGTTTTTATTCTGTCTTTTTATAATTGCAGGAGAACTGTAAAGCTGTCGCCGACGAGTACATTGAATGCGAAATCATGGTACTTCGTCAAAATTCATGATAAAAATCTCAACTTTGAATCATGGTTTCATGGGATTATTTACCACTTTGTCTTGTTTTCTGGGTGTAGATTATCTTGATTGATTTGATTCTACATAAAAGAAAAGCTTATAGGCACTTGTTCTACAATATGTTTACTCGAGAGAAACTTAATTTTGAGGTATGTTTTAACTGAATCCATCCCCAGCTGTGAAATTGCATTCTTGTCCAGAGTCATTTGTTTATGCTGGCTGCTCCTTTAATTTTTGCAGGGATTATTATGGAAATCACTACTGGTATTCCTTCTCTTGGATTCTTGTATCCATTTTGTGATGTTACAATACACTTGACAGAAAATTTATGCATTTTCCATTTGCATATTTTGTTTCATCATAGGTTATGAGTCTATGTATTACTCTTTTATAAGAGTATGTTAGTTCAATGTCCCATTTAGTAGCTATAATCAACTTATTCAACATAATAAGTAGCTTGTGGTTATATTTTAAATAAAAAATCCCATTTTTTTATAATAAGAAATACGTAGTAGCACAAAAGGAGGTGACGCATACAACGAGGCCTAGTTAATGCCATCCCGACACACGGGCATACCCCCACAGGATACAAAAAAAAAGCTTTTAACTTACTTATTTGGCTTAAATAGATGTTACCAAATGCTTTTCTCTTGAAAGAAATCAATAGATTCAACAACAAAAACTTACCAAATGGGGCCTCTACCCTCTAGTGTTGTAGCACCCAATAAGCCTTAACCATGAAAGATAGAATGATGATCCTATGCACTAGTCCTAAGGAGAGGATCTGGCCTACAACCTTTGCTTCACTGGCCTCCATCTATGGAAAGGTTTGTACCACCTGAATTTGAGGGTTAGCTGTAATGGTTTTGCGTTTTGAGTCATGTTGAGAAATGTGTAGGTTCTGTTTGGAGTCATCTTTGGGAACCTGGTTTTTCTTGGAACATTACTATTTGGCGCAATGAGCTTTCTGGAATCAACTGTTAGAAATTTTGGGTAAATTTTTTAAACAACTGTCAGAGAATGTGAATTATGAAAGCACCACTTAACTTTAATCTTTACCTGATAAGTTTATTTGTTATATTTACTTGAATGGGACAGGTATAGGTCTGTACTGCTTGCAATCCTTGTCTCGAGTTACTTAAAGATCTTCCTTGTGGCCATGATGGTATGCTTTTTGCTTTCCGCATTAAATCTAATTTTAATGTGAATTCGAGGTAGTTAGGTTCTTTTCAATGAAAATTCAAGGCTAGTTATCATCATGGAGATTCATTCCAACTAAGGATTTTCTCATAGAGAGTGATGTTATTCTTTAATTCACAGGTATGGGAATTTCCTCCTGCTGTTATTTTTGTTGTTGACATGCTTGTCTTCTCATCCAATACATTAGCATTAACTGGTATGAAAATTGTTACTTAATTTATTACCTGTGATGTATAGTTTTTTTTTTTTGCAAAGGTTAAGCTATAATGTGAAATATGTTTGACTGCCTATCATTTGCACTATTAAAATATAAACGAGAATTATATTGAAGAGAGGAGCAACGAATTTTCTGTCTTTCATTGGAGTGTTAAGGCCCTATAAATATATACTACAAAGATGAAATATTCCTATTATAAGATTGAAGATTCTATACAATAATAATATCCTAGAGTACATTCCTAAAATATTATAAAGCATATTCTAAAGTATATTCTAATACCTTTCACAATATTTCGTTATTAACCCTATTGCTTATATAAATTTGGTAAGTGGTAACTAAGCATAAGGGTGTTAATTGATTGAACCGCTGATAAAATTATTGGTCGATACCTATACCGTAAATCTGCTAGTGGTGTTCTAGAGAGAATGCAAAGCTAATAACATAGAGATAAAGGGATCCATAATAAATTGAGAAATAATGACAGATATATGATTGAAATAAAGTCAGTGAACAAAATGTGACGTTTATAGTTTAGTGACTATCAATCTATATAGTAAGTTTAGTGTGCATGATTGTGTACAACTTTATACTATAGTGGCTATGCATAGTAACAATAGAAATATTTTTGCCCATAAATTATATTTCAATAATATTTAAGGAAAAATCTCATAAATGAATATTCGAACCTTTACAAATGCCCAAAGTCGGGCTATTTATAGTGGTAATAAATGTTAACCTTCCAACCTTTACAACTGTCCAAAATCCTATAGATTCATGCTTCATCCTTGTGTGGATGGTCTACATTGCTCCGAGCTGTGGTATCCTTGGCTGGGCGAGGGTTCTCGCCGAGGGTGTAGCCCATTGCTTGTTGGGCCGGTCCAAATGTCTTTTGAGTATATCAGCCATGGGTCCAGGCTCATATACTCCATCATTGATATTTATACAAATATTGGTATTGCCAATATATAGGATTACTGGTAGATATTTTGATATCGAAATCGTTTTTTTTTTGGAATAGAACTACATTTTGTAAATTATACTACGTATGAAAAAGACAATGTAGTAACTGATATTTCAAATATAATATTCAGTACTTCCCGATATTTATCAAAATGTTCTGCTATTTTCCAATATTTTTGACATTTCCAAATTTTCTCTGAGATTAGCAAAACCATTATCCCTTATCGATAACAGAAATATCGAAATACAGAAATTTCAATGAAAAGTTTATAAATCTCAGGATTTTCATCATTGATTGAAACTGCAATTTTGTGTACACAAAGAAGGCATTTTTACCTTATTCTTCTGTTTATGTATCAGTTCTTACAGACAAAGACACGACTCATTGCCTATGGATCTGCTTGGCTGCACAAATGATGAAGTTATTCATGGAGCACAGCCTCATAGGATTTCCAACTCTCTCCCAGTTCTATTAATCTCTCGTGAAGTTATTTTGACTTGCAAACTTCAATTCATGCTAAAACATGGAACTGGCTTTAGAGCCTTAGAGGCACTCTGTCAACGGGGGGGGGGGGGGGCTACCACTTCCCTAGCGCTTTTGTGAAGGACAGGTAATATGCATTTGTGGTCCCATAACTATATAGGGGTTGCAAAAGTAGCCATGTTAGATTTGTTTTGGCACTTTAGAGCCATTTATTTCAAAACTATCAAGAATAATATAATATAGTCCTGAAGCCATTAAAAGCTGCCATGTTTACCAAAGAAGTATTGTTCAGGCTTTGGATCCAAATGAATGTGGTGAAGTAGCAAGAAGTATTGTTCAAGTTTTGGATCCAAATGAATGTGGTGAAGTAGCAATTTTATAACATTTAAGATGCAAATTACATTTTTGTGTGAATAGAAATGCAGAAGACTAGCATCTAAAACAAACTGCATTTTGGCCTATCTAAATTTCACAATTTCACGTTAACCCCCGTCCACCAGATGACTATCAAACCAGTTTCTTATCAAATTAGGGTGACTTTGGAACTACTTTTGGTATTTTGAAAGTAACAGATCTAAACTGATAAAACAAATTTCAGCTACTAAAATTGTTAATATTTGATAGTTGCGGGACCAAAGTGCATTTTCCCTGGTATATGATGTAATTCTGATCAAATACTTTGCATTGTGAGCACATGGTTAACTATATCAATCGATAAACTATATAATGTTATGGTATGTTTACAGATACTATTGTCTACAAATAATAGTGTAAATATGAGAAAACAAAGCCCCACACACACTGACACACTTGTTGGTTTATCTGAGTTTAGAGACAAAGCCTTCTCCTACATGCCTCAAAGGGAAGGGAATGCTTCCAAGGAGAGTACTCTGAGTAGCCCAACTCTTTGACTAGTTCTTGAATCAACTCTTTGCATATATAATCTTGTAAAACCACTCCAATTTTTCTAGTCTCTCCATGCTCACCACAAGCTATGTCTCTGCAAACTTCCTCCACACTCCTGACCACTGCTTTGCTGCGCCACTTCACCGGAGATGAGACGATCACTTCTTCCCGCTTTGATTGGAAATGACTTGTTTTCAATTTCTTGAGGATAGAGTTAATATTTCCATCTTTGGCTACATTGTTGGTTGCTTGCGCTGCGCACAATGCTGTTGAATATAATAAAAATGTCAAGTCATCTCACCACGAACAAAGATAAGAATACACAATACGTTTTCTACCATGTTGACCGTTTAAAATGAAAGCTTATAAGGCGTAAATAAAAACACATTTGTTTTAGCAAGAATCAAACAATAAGTAGCTGCTAGACAACAAAACAAATTAGACTTAAGACACACATTTGTTGGAGATTTTGGAAGTTCCTTTGTCTGGCTGTACTCCTATAATGTTCTTTTAGTGCTTTAATTTCATCAAAATCAGAAAAGAAGAAAAGTAGGAAAGCTGAATATGGGAGTGGACCCAAACCATAAAAAAAGGTGAAGCTCTGCTAGCTAAAGCAATAATCACAGTGCTTTATTTTGCCTTTTGTTTGGATGCTCTGTCGTACCTTCATCATTTTTTTAGTGCATCATAATCATAAGTAATTATATGGATTGTTTAGAAGATGAGAAACACCACCTCATGAACCATCATCATCCACACCCAAGAAAGCATGCATTTCTTGCCACTTGCATGAAATCACATTATGCTATCAGGGTATAGCAGTGGACCTCAGCTCCTAATTTGGAAAACATAAAATATTGAAAATATAGAGCCCGTTTGGTAGAACGAAAATCGGCTGGTTTGACTGATTTTGCTGAAATTTATGAAGTTCTGGCTGAAGCGGCTGCATTGGCTGATTCTGCTGGTTTAAGAAAAAATTATTTTTAAAATATATTATATTAATAAAATAAAGAAAAAACTATATGTAAAATAGCTAAAATGATCATATACAGTAATTTCAGCCAATACAACAAAAAAAGTAACTCCAACTTTACTTTTTATGCTTATTACACAATTCAGCACGCCGAAGCAAAAATTACGTGTTTGGTGAAAAAGCTGGCTGATAAGCCTGATAAGCCGAAAAACAGTGTTGCCAAATGGCCTCATAGTGTATTTGCACTGGTAGTAAAAGAGTGTCACAAGGAAGATGTCTCGGGTTCAATTCCAAGTAAAGATTTTGGATGAAACTTCACTCTCTTTTCATTAGAGTGTAATCAATACTCAACTTACATCTTTCCAAATAACTATTCGATCGGCCCTCATAAATGAGGCTTATTTAGTGTTTTGCTTATAATTAAAAAAGCCTATTTTAGTGTCGTGTTTGGAAAATATGAACATTGAGTTGATAATATTTTACATATATATTTCTAAGTTAAAAGTTGTGAATAAAGTTTACAACATAATTATTAGATTTTGTAATTAGCACAGGGCTTCTTATAAATCAAGGTGGTCTTGCATCATGGTTCACTACTTCCCTCTATGATCCTCATTTAGGTAGTGGCCGATTGAGTGCCCGGACCATTAGGTCTGTCTGTCCAAACCCACTCATACACTGTAAGAGTAGCTAACATAGATCTGACTTGGAATTGTACACCCAATATTATCCCTTATAAATTTACCTTTTTTACATCTCAAAATCTTTTTCATTTTCTTTTTAATTAATTAATTTTTCTATTTTAAACAAAAAATTTTTATTTTATTTTTTCATGGGTTGTTCAAATTTGATAAAATTATAAAAGAGAATACTCCGTATTACTTTAACAATGTTTTCACATCACTCGCAAATCACCTTGAAACATTTGAGTTGGTGATTTATAAGTCCATTATAACTTGTTTGATTTTACATGTATACTCCGTATTTGTAAGCCTATGATCGACAACTTTTGGAACGTTCTGCTTTTTCATGATATCAAAATTTTGAAGAACAACTAGTCGAGTGATTATATTTATTTATGTTAACTCTATGTTTAAGTTCTTTAAAAAAAACTCTATGTTTAAGTAGGTAGCATTAGTGCATGACATGAACTTATAATAATACTTACTATTATTTTTATTCAACTCTACTTCAAATGATGTTTAAGCACAAGAGAAAAAGAGTTGCACTGCCCTCAAGAACATAACTGGAGGTCCATTTTTAATCTTAGTGTCAAATTATTATTACCTAAGGAGGTCAAAAACCCACTCCCCGTCTTGATTGGTCTGATATATTGATAAAAACTCACGGAGAATTAAGTTAGATGAATAAAGTGTAGGGATAAAAAAAGGTTTACATCACTTGATTATTTAGTGTAAATTAAAGGGTTTTTTTCAAGAACAATTGACACTAATTTTCAAAAACAAATGACACTATACTAATACATTTATAAATAAAACATAGTCAAATTAGAACATGCGAATAATGTAAAATTATGTTGGAAAATGTGTTAAAAATTGCATTAAATGGTCAATTTTGAGCAATATTTTGAGTGGGGTCCACTCCTGATTTGGGTCGAGTCAAAGTGGTTTTGGATTGTCCTTGTTAAGGACTACAATTCGATATAACGGGTGAATGAGAAATTGATTCTGTTAACTCGTTGAAATTGAGAAAACTAAGAAAATGATGGGTTTCTAGTGTGAATCCCACACTGGGAAAGCCAAAGGATTTCCACCCCCTTATAAAAGGTATCTTCTTTGAAGGAGTTAAAATTCTTACGTGGAAAGGCTCTCTTCGCGCGCAAGGGATACCAATAAAATCAAAAAACAGAGAAGAAAAATCGCGACTTGCGTGCGCGGGTGACTTGAGGACGCGAATGTCGTTCGAAAATCTGTCTTCTAAATTAAAGACTTGATTTTTGTTTCTTCCCGTAACGATCCTATTTTTGCTCCAGGTTCAGTCCCCGTTGGGAGGAGGCTGTTGCTCCATGCATGTTGAATGACCAGAAACAGGCTGTTGTTGAGGCGTTACAACAATAAATGCCCAACGTTCTGCAGCATTAAGTGGACAGTTCATGGACAAATCAATGTCTAACAGACTGGTCATTGATGTCCAACACTCAGGTCCTTTAATACGCCGTAACACACAACAAATCCTTCAATATAAGTAGCTGACAGGTGCTTTACAACAACACACGTTAAGAAACGAACTTACACACTCCTCACGTAGTTTTGAACTCTAAAAACACCTCCAACATCCTGCAAATTTTCTTAGTGTTCTTGTTGTGTTTCCGTTCGCCGGAACCTTTGTTTGTATCTCAAACGATCGTTCGTTAGCCACCGTATCCTGGGAAACGGTCGTTGCAACACTTCTAGCACCATGTGAGGCAACAAATGCGTTTTAAGGACATTGTGCGTGACACAAGTTCTTGCTAATTTTTGTTCCATCATATTTCTGTTTTTTTTGGCTATTTTGATTAATTTTATTAATTAATTTTTCTTCATTTTTCCGGGACACACTCAACAAATTCAACATGTTGCACTTATTTAAGAACGGAAATAGTATAAAATATTTTACATGAGGATTATAAAATACTTCAAAAGCTTCTTATAGAGCATTGCAAGGACGTTGCACGTAATTTAAAAATAAATAAAACATCTAACAAAAAAGTGTATTTTATTTATGTACAAACTGATTACTTCTCCAAACTTTTTTGCAATTATTTCTTATACAAAAGTTTTTTAAACGTATAAAATACTTTTTTTAAAGTAACGTATAAAATACTATGCTCTAAGAAGTGAACTATTATCATCTACCGGTAATTATTTAATCAGTACTTTGTACGAGTAGTACTCCTTTATTTGGTTCTCTATCTGTTTTAAATCTAACTTTAATTATTCAAAAAAAAAATCTAACTTTAATAATTGCCTTGCTCGCTTCAGTCTCCCCGACTCCGGCCGCCGTCGGCGACCAGAACCGGTGATGAACTTCTCGTACAAAGTATGGGATTGAAGAGATTAAAAAAACATAAGGAAATATTGGGAAACAAACCTTCAGTATTTTGACTTCTGGTCAAAGTTGTCGAACGACTTATCATCTGCTCGTCCAGCACACTGATCGGACTCAAAACCTGATGCTCCGTACATTTCTTTGTGCACGCCGGCGGCGGCAGAGTCGCCGGCGACGACTCCACGGACTGTATAATTTTCTTAAGCGCTTCCAAGTCTTGGTTGCACTTCTCTAAGGCTTGCAACAGCATCTTTCTCTTCACCTCCGTCAACGACAGTTCACATTCCGGCGCCGGAGACTGCTTCTCCTCCAACCCCATCAGCCGCTGCACCAATGCCGGTCTGCCTTTAGCGTTTTCCCGGCGGATATCCGGCGAAAGGCCCGGGCTTCTTTGTATTCTTACTTCCTTATTATGATCGTCATTCATCACTATCACTTTTTCTGGAACCGCCGGAGATAATGTTTCTTCACTATATTTCTCTCTCTTTCGGCCTGTAAATAAAAATAAATTAATTAACATTTCTTAGAAAATGAAAATATATCAAACCATTACACCAACAATTCAACCAATATGTACCAAATGTAAGGCGTTTCGTTTTGTTTTGGTATTTGGAGAGGAGCTGAAAGATTCCAGACATGCAACCGATGGGTTTTTCTCGACGGCGTCTTTTCTCCGGCGGCGGTGTCTGCCGGCGGGATGCGGAGAGTAGAGATTCTTGTCTGTTCATTGTTTTTAATAAAGTGTTATGGGTATGAATGAAACTTCTTTATAAAGCGATTAATAGTGTAGCATGGAAAAGTGGGTCTAAGGTCTGATTTTATAGTACCGTTGTTCGACAGGAAAGTGACAAAAGGCCGGTAGCCAGCTGCATACTCCCAGTCTCCCTTATAACTTTGGGGCTTTGACAACTTTGTTTTTTTGAATGTTCCGTTAATTTTGTCACTTTCCCATTTAAGTTAAGAATTTATGATTCCAGTTAATTCTTTTTCCTTTGCACAAATCTCAACCACATAGTTTTTACTTTATTAATCCCCGTGTCGATCAAAATTGGCAAAGTTATTTGGGACGGAGAGAGTAACTTTTTATTACCGAAATAATGGTCCAAATAATACTCATAGTCTCATAGGCTGTGTTTGGTATGATGTAATGCAATGCAATAGAATGGAATGAAGTGTGTAATCCAATAGAAAACGTAATGTAATGGAATGTAGTCCCTATTCCATTACTATGTTTGGTTACTTAAGTAACAACTTTGAATTGTAATCAACATTACATAATTATGTTTCTTTATTTGTGTGTGTGTGCGTGCAGTGGGTGTGTGTGCAGTGTGTGTGCGCGCGCGCACGCGCAGTGTGTGTGTGTCAAGACAATCCATTATAATCTAACAGCAAAATGAAAGGGGGCCTGCTTTTCCCGCTCGGAAACATCGCTTTCAAAGGGTTATGGTTAATTGCTCATTGATTTACGATTGGTGAGTGTATAATGTTTAAGAATTCATAAAGTTGGCCTGTGCGAGGTAGTGTTTTACGTAAGATGTGTGGATGATATTCCTTGAGTTACTGTTTTGATTTGATTTGGATTTCTCAATCTCCTAAATGGTTTTTCATTGGTTGATTAAGTTGGTGTGAGCTGGTGCACAGCAGTAAGGATTTCTCCAGGATTTCCATGCCACCTGGATTGTTTTCATTGGCCAAAAATTTTGTTAAACATTATTCTTTATGATGCGCAAGTGGGCTAACCCTGGATGATTGGTTGGCACTGTTTTGAATTCAAATTTTAGTAAATAGTGTTCCCCCCAAGCCCATAAACATTTCTTATTGGTTGAATAAGAGGTGCAATGTTTGGTTTCATTGCCTTGGCCAAGCTCAGCAGCTATAAATGGAGCAACACCCATGTTTCAATCCCCATAGGTCTTGGAGAAGTGAGTTGCGCAGTGTATCCACAATACTCTCATATAATTTATGAGTGGGCTTTCGGTACTCTCCCCATGATTGCAAGTTGAGACTCCATACCACTTCATTAGTCAGATCTCTTGGCTACACATCCAAGCTCAACCTACACGCCAAATTCAATCTATTAATGGAGAATGGTTGATTTTACAATTTACCCAGTCAAGCAGATGATACCAAGCTCCTACCAGCAAATCTTCACTCAAGCTCTCGGTATGTCATAAACATGGGTGGGAGTGTATGATTTGAGAAATGAACCAGAGTTAACAATATGTATAGTAAACAATATGTATAGTATTTATGTTTTCACCACAGGTTGAAGTTCCTGAAGTGTTACCAAAAAGAATAACTCATAATGTGGTTTCTGGAACACAAAAAATAGTTATTACCACTGGCTTTCTATTCGTGAAAAGCAGTTGGCCTGGACAAAAAATGCTTTGGAAATGGTTTAGTGTCGACTATGATATCGGATAGCTAACAAGCGAAAACCATTTGTTTGTAATATCAACAGTTTATGTCCAGATCATAGCTTCTTTTATTGACCTGCTTAGCAATTTTTACTTGCTGGCATGGCTAGATCTTTGTTATATTATTATGATGTTAATGGTTCGGAAGTATTTGTGTCTCTTGCTCATTTTTTGTACTTTCTAATACATTTTTGTTCTTACATGATGTTTTGTGCTACAAAACATCTGTAACATCTGTTTGATTTCACGTTCTGAAATCTACCTACATCTACAAAAAAAGCCAACTTATAAGATTATTTTTTAGGTGGAGGATCAGCTCACAAGGGTAGTCATTCCTAATCTTACTAATTCAAGTGCATTAGGGTACGTCAAAGAGCCAAATTCAGGTATGCTCATAAAATCGTACAAAATCGTAAAAAAATCGTACTAACATTGTGTAGAATCGTATAAAATCGTAGCAAAATCGTTATAAGTTGTTTTTAGTGAAAATAGTTCAAATTTAGTAAAATTAACAACTACAAATTGATACATAAATCTAATAATAATAATAATATAAAATAGTTTATTTTAAAAAGTAATGGATTAAGTAAAATAAGTAATGTATTAAGTAATGGATTAAGTAATGTATTTAGTAAAATAAGTTAAATCATTTAGGAATCCACCTTACACACCAACAGTAATGCCAATCTTCGTATGCCGGTAATTAAGGAATGATGAGAAATTGAAGTGAATCATTTAGTTCGAATGCGATTTTTTTTTTTTGGCAGAATTCAAAATGGTGCAAGAAAATTCAATTTTGTATCAGATAATATACCATATATCACCCCCCTGATTGGCTGGCATGTCAGGGGCAATTAGTTTCACTTAGGCAGCTCTTATAATGGTTTTTATTAAAAATACTAACATTTGTGGCCTGGCTAGGCAGATAATATTCACTTTGGCAGATCATATAATTGATATATTTCCTAATACTGTGAACCTGCTTTTGACTATGTAACGCAATGCAAATGTTTTTGTTCAAGGGTTTAACTCATAAATGAAATATTCAATGGCAATTGTGTAGTACGTTTATTTATTTTTAAAATGTGAATAAAATTGTTTTACATGTAAATTATTCAAAAGCTTCATAATTCAACAAAATAGCAAATCCTGATTGGGAAAATTGTAAATAATAAAGAGTTGGGGTTAATTTTTAAGTATAAACACAAAAGATGTCTGTTAGAAATCCCCAGTGTGCAAGAAAAAACCTTAATTTTTTTACAGAATTTATACCATATATGCCACCCCCTGATTGGCTGGCATGTCAGGGGCAATTAGTTTCACTCAGGCTTCACTTCAGACTATCACGCTTCAATTCCTTTATCTTGTGTGTTTATAAGTACATTTACGTGTATGAATCTATTCGTGGAATACTTATTAACAAATAAAAAAAATTATGAAAAGGTGTTTCTGACCTGCTTTCTTTCTCCACCCTTCATGTATAACAAATAACACTTTCGCTGCTCTGGCTGCCTCGGTTTCCTCCCATGTCATTTGAAAGAAAGTTTAATGTTATTAGAATATAATAATATGTTGTATGAACTGTTATTCAACCTTAAATTTAAAAGTGTGGATATTTACATACCGTCTTCGCAGCAGCACATCTTTGGGTGAATCAACCTTTCTTCTTCAATTTCCATCACTGTGATTGTATGAATTTGATTTGGTTGGATGTTGTTAGGATACTCATGGATGGTGAAGTGGTCTGAGAAATGGAACTGTGTCTGAGGCTGTGTGTGTTTGAAATACATATATGGTATAGTGTGTGGTTTTGGTGATTATAGTTGTGTTCTGTGTATGTGCTTTCGTTTACAATATTTGCAGAGTATTGGTCTTTGTGATATTTGGAGTTGCAATTGGTAGATGGTTCAAGAGAGATAGAGTGTGTGTTATGTGGTGGGTGGGTGGTCTTTGAAAATTAAAGTATGGTGGGTGAGGTGGGTGGTTCCGGAATAATTAATTCTGGTGTTGTGGGTGGTTCGAAATAATAGTGGGTGATTGGGCAGTGTGAACTGTGAACTTTGAAAATAGAATGTGGGTGTGTCCCGTCTTATTAATTGATTCGTTTTTTTTTACAGAAAGTTGTCGATACTTTTTTACCGTATCTAGATTCTTCCTTTGTTTTTTCCTACGCGTGTTGTTTTTTTTAAGTCGAAATTTAAATTCATTTAGTGGAAAGGGTTGGAGGTCTCTGGATGGTTCTTAGATATTGGTTATTTTAATTAAATTAAAACTTACAAATTCAGTATTTCAGTATTTAAAAAATATACCGAAACCTTTAAAAAAATTAAAAATAATTTAATTTTTGAAATATTATAAAAATTATTTTGCAATATATTATCGGTATAGGTTATCCCAGAAAACAACAAATTTTATGAACAATTTAATGTTTGAAATAGACATTGAAAAAAATTGCGTATGTTTATAAATCTAAAGAGTTTGAAGAACAATTGCGAAAATATGGTTTTTAAAGGACTTTAATAGTGAAAATTAAGTAAGTGATATAATTTTATGTCGGATAACTTTTAAAAATATAAATTAAGGTGACTTTGCATGTTACGGATCTGGGGGTTTTATATTGTTTTGGTTTTTTACCTTAGATTTTTATTAAAAAAAGAAGAGTTTCTGTCAGAAAATAAATAATATTGATCAGATCTGGCCCTTGAAGATTTTTATGTGTTTTGTTTTCTTTGAACTGATTTTTTTTGGTTATTTTGTGTGAAAATAGATGCGGAGAAGAGGTTGTGTGTTGGTGTTTATGTGCAAGTGAAGTTTGGTCTCAGGGTGTTTGTTTCTGTGTGTTGTGAGCATATGAAGCTTACCTGTGTCTCTGAGGTATGAGGCCGGAGACCGCGGATGTAGTTTGCGGACGGTGGCTCCTTTTTTGGTATCAAGCCCCATGCGTTTTCTTCTCCGATCTTAGAACTTCTGTTGGATATAGGGGTCTTGCTTTCAGGCTAAATCTTTTGGTGGATTTGTTGTATGGGGGTGTGCCGTTGGAGATCGGGGTTTTTGGTTATGGCCGGAGGTTGATGTCGGAGGTGGTGAAGGTCGCTGGGATGTAAAACCGATCTGTTAGGACTTAGGGTTGCAGAGAGAGAGACAGAGTTTGGGTGTCGACGTGTTTGTAGGGGGGGTGGTTGACGAGGGGTGTGGTTGACGGTATATGAGGCTTGGGTTCGGGATGGGTTTAATTTCATTGGGCCGGCCCATATGAGTGAATGATTATTTAACAATGGGCTCAAATATTTTGTTTTGAAGTAATTGGTTGTAGTTTTGTGATATACGCAGCCGGTTCGGTAGTACAAAAATCGGCAGTTTTGACTGATTCTGTTGAAATTAATGAAATTTTGGCTGAAGTAGGTTCTTTGGCTGATTACGGATATTTAGGTAAATAATATTTTTTCACATTTT